CTGTGCTACCGTAAAGTGCTCGACTTCGCGCGCAGGTCGTCGGGCTACCGAAGCGGGGGTGCCATCCCCTCCGCAGAGGATCAAAATTGTGATGGCATGTCTTCGGATCATCCTCCGGGATGTTTCCCAGACCGTCGCCAATAGCCCATTGTGCAGCTCTAGTGCGACGTAAATTAAAGCAACAACAACAACAACAGCAAAGTTTAGCATTTTACTCACATTACTCTTTTTTGGTATAGTGTAGATTATTCAAAAATGTTAACTGAAAGGATATCTTCACTAACTTTATCTGTAATTCATAATTTTTTTTAATGAGTATTTTAAGTAATTTGCTTTGCTTGTCAAATTTAGACATAAATTGTATCTTACCTAATTTTAAATGCCTATTGTAATTTCTCTTTTTAAATACTAATTGCAATCTATTTTTAAATTCTGATTACAAACATGATTTTATATAAGATACATATTTCTTACTATTTTGTTGCTGTTGCAGGTACTTTCAAATGCTAGACTCGTATTGGAAAATATAATGAAGTATGTAGTTTTAATTTTAGGTCAACTCAAAATATCTAATATGTGAAATGAATTTATTTAAATTTTAAATACTTTCTTGATTTGTAGGTATGGGATACTAGTTGATCCTATTCAGTGGGCAAATCTTTTTATAAACAATCCTACTGAATCACCTTCTGTCCTTCTATTATTTAGTAAGCAGTTTTCTAAATATATTTATCTTATTCTTTGCTTTTTTACTAAATATTATAAAATCTTGTATTTAAAATTTAATATCTGGTTATTACGACTAAATATTTAATATTATAAATGCTATTTATTTTGCTGTTTTTGAAGTCTAGCTAAATATATACTATTATAAGAAACCTTTATTAATCTTTTTGTTTCTGTTAAATAATTAACTGCTAAATGTATATTGTGTTTATTATTTTTGCTGTTTCTATTTATTTATTATATTTATTTTGTTTATTATTTTGCTATTTTTTATTTAGGTTTACTTATTTTTCCATTGTCATCACTTGGTATTGAAAAATTACTTGCAAATGTAAGTGTAAACTGATACTAACTATTTATTAAACAGAGATGATAGTGCTCCGGAGAAATCCGGATTTCCAGGTTTTTCGCTAAACGGGATCAGGAAATCCATGATCCAGAAGTTTCAAGAAATCATTGATCACATTAATGTATAAATCTTCTTGTATATATTTTTTAAAAATATTAGAAATCTAATTTATACTTGACATCTCTTTCAATTGTAAATATTTTTTCTGGTAGAATAATAAATGTGATTAGAGATTAAAGTAAACTTATATGTAATTATTAATTTAAATTATGCTGCATATAATTTGTTTAGAATTACATGTTGTGAAAATATCAATGACTTAAATTTATAAGGACATAAATTTTTTTTGAAATGCCTCATTATTGATTTTACTCAAGAAATTATCCGGAGTTTTGAGTTGGGCTCACAATCACCCCTGGTTAAAGCAATTTTGTATCTTTGAAGCAAAATTACTAAATGTTTTAACTCATTTTAAGTGATTCTTCTAATTAATATTATTGAATTATGTATGTGTGCTATGTTAAAAATACTTATTAGTAATTGTGAGATAATTGTAATGCTTGCCAAATTTTAATTCTGAAATGCTAAGTTTACTTGTTAACTATGTTCTTTTAATGTTTTAGATTGCTTGTTAACTATATGTATAGAGGTATCATATGTGTTGTGTATAAACATTAATTAGATCAAGAATGTTTATATTCAAGTTTCGAGAAAAAGGCATGCATTTTTTGTTACGGAAATTGTTTATTGAAGTTTAAAGTTTCTAATTTTCTTTTAAAAGATTTTTTTCTATGAAGTTGTTATAATCAAAAATTCAGTTTTCATAATACTGTCCTAAAGTTTTAAAGGAATGACCATAATTTTAAGTAAGTGTTAATGAATGAAATGTAATTAATCTTTTTGTTTAACGTAAAAAGTACTTTCAATTTGTATAAAAAGCTTTTTATTTAGTTACTATAACATGAAAATTTATCGAATTTCGTTCCGTTTTTTTGGTTTTCCGGTTTTCTGATTTCCGGATAACGGGTTCTGTACTGTATTATAATTTACTATAAAATGCACAACATTTTAGTAAACACCTTGTTGGCTTACAAATTTGTTATTATAAAGTAATGTTTGTTTAAATTCAATGATGAAATTTATATTCGTAATAATAATGGTATTTGACAGTTAAATAAAATAGTAGTATTGAAATGTTATTTATAATTTTCTTTGTATTTCAGGGCTTCATTGGAGAAATGTTTGGTTTCATGCTAGTAGTTATTCTTTTAATCATTGAATTAACTGCACCACCTGTCATTGTCTACCTTACAAACTGTCAAGCAGGTAAATAAAGACTCTTGATTTTATTATTTTTAATTGATTTAAAATTAATAATTGAATTTTTTTTATTGAAACTAATGTAGCATCTGAAAATGTTTACTTCATTCTATGCTAATATAGAATAAATTTTGTATTTCAGTTGCAGCCTCAATTGTACTGGGATATGTCAGTGTGGTTTTTTTAAAACTAGTGTCATATCATATGGTTAACTTTTGGTGTAGAGAAAGTCTTTCAAAAAAAGTCATACCAGACAAACGTATTCGCAGACGTAGTGTTTCATCTGACAGACAACGAAAGGGTAATATTTATAACCTTCAAATAAACTTATTTTATTCATATCTGTGTGACTAGTTGGTTTGTGAAATGTTATTTTTGTATTGCTATGTTACTTTTTTTTCTTGTTATACTTGGAGTTTTATTTTAAAATATTTTTATTATCAATTTGAAAAATTTTTGAACTTAAGTTGAAGATGTAGTTGTTTGGTTGTCTTTTTAATTTATGTATACATATATATTTTTAAAATTATTCAGAACATTTATCCTGATAGTTTTTTCACTACAGTTACTTTGCCAGTAAATATGAATTATGAAGTTAAGGAATTTCTGTTAGAAATAAATTTCTTAATAAACACAATAAAAAAATTTTTTTTGTTGAAAATAAAAAAAAAATAAAATTTTGAATTTTTACTTGTTGACTCACTCAAGTTGTGCAGACTCCATCACAGATAAAAGTGATTTTTCGATTGTATTTTTAGTAGATTTTCTAACTACGAAATTCCTCGTGGTCTTAAAAATCTTAAATTTTTGATACAATATTATTATGGTAGGTGAATTTATTGGAACAATAACTTTTTTATGTTATTTATTTATATCTATTTTGTCGTAAATCCAAGTGACATTTTGATTGTTTTTTGTCAGTTGTTGCAATAAATTTCCATATGATTTTGAAAATCCTGATATTTTTAATATGTTATTATGGCACTCTAATTTGAATTTAGCATTTGATATGTATATATATATATATTTGAGCTTTGCTTAAGTAGATTTCATCTTAAGCGATTTTTTCTGTTTTTTTGTTATAATTATTGCTACGCTTTTGCATGTGATTTTGAAAACTCCTATACTTTTACTATATTATTATACAAATCCTGGAGTTTCAAATCCTGTGTAATGGTTTTTTGATGTGCTTTTTTCATGTTGATTTTGTAGTGGATCTTAGTTATTTTTCAATCATTCTTTCGGTAGTTATTGCTACACATTTCTATATGGTTTTTAAAATTTCAGTTTTTATACAATATCATGTCACATTTTCAATTTGCGTAAGTAGATTATTTTTTGTGGCTTCTGCTGATTTCATCGTAATTTTAAGAGTTTTTTTTTGATAGTTTTTTTTTTAAGCGTGTGCTACCCTTGTTTATGTAATTTGAAAAATCCTCAAATTTTTAAGTATAATAATTTTGACTTGTAGCCTTCTAATTGGGAATTTAAGTAATTTTTGGTGTAATTATTTTATAGCCAGATTTCAAGGTAAATGCAAGTTTGTCAATCTTTTTTTTCTTTTTTTTTTCTCAGGAAGGCTCATTTAATTCCATGTGGTATTTAAAATCCTAATTTTTTAATGTAATATTATTGCTACACGCGAAATGTGGAGAAATACAAAACTTTTTAATTGTTCGCTGATTTTAATATTTATTGGTTTAAAAAGCTTTTTTTTTAAAAAAAAGTATCATTTATACAACCTCGAAAAATTTACTAAATATAAATGTTTCGAACTAAATATAGAGTGTTATTTTATGCTGAAATGATTTTGTTATAATTTAAATTATTATTATTAATTAGTATTAATTTAATTTTGCATTTAATTTTGCTTTATTTATTTTTTGTTATTAATATATTTACTTTGAATTTATACTACTTAATTAAATATTTATATTTTTTTACTTTTTACTTTTTATTTTGAGGTTATATTATTCTTTTACTTTTCTCAATGCTTTTACTTTGATACATCTGTTTATAAAAGTTTACATTGACATTTTCAGACGCATAAAAGTATTCAATTTTATTACTAAGGAAATTATATTAATATGCAAATATATTACTAAATTGTCTGATAAAGGATTTACTGCCAAAAACACTGTGTATATAAATACATACTACTAAATTTGCTGGCAACATGTCAAAGTATGCAGCCCTTCTTATAAATATGCCATTCCGAATAAGNAACTCCATGGTCCTAAAGTGCTTGAAAAGTTTTTAAAAAGTGCTTATTTTTGATTCAAAGATTTGGCTACACACCCTGTAATATATTTACTTTGAATTTATACTACTTAATTAAATATTTATATTTTTCTAATTTTTACTTTTTATTTTGAGGTTATATTATTCTTTTACTTTTCGCAATGCTTTTACTTTGATACATCTGTTTATAAAAGTTTACATTGACATTTTCAGACGCATAAAAGTATTCAATTTTATTACTAAGGAAATTATATTAATATGCAAATATATTACTAAATTGTCTGATAAAGGATTTACTGCCGAAAACACTGTGTATATAAATACATACTACTAAATTTGCTGGCAACATGTCAAAGTATGCAGCCCTTCTTATAAATATGCCATTCCGAATAAGATTTTTAAGTTCTTGAGGTTTCTCTTTGTGCATACATTTCAGTCTTACTCAGTCTCATTCATTTCAGATCATACTCAGTCTTACTTGTTTTCTTTGTCTTTGGCAATGCTCTTTAAGTATCTTTGTTTTTTTGTTTTTAAGCAAGGTTAAATATATAAAAAAAAGTCTAGACTATCATTTCTTGACTTAAATCCAGCTTTTCTTTACTTATTACTAATTTCTTTTGTATTTATGCTGCTTACTTTATACCTGTTAAATCTTTGCTTTTTATTTTATAACTGTTAAAATTATGAAATCTATCAATTGTTATTTTATCAATTCAGTTTTTTGTCTATTTGGTCTATTTATATATATATAAAAAGTATATTGCAAAACACTAATATCTATGTTAAAAATATTCACTTGTTGGTTTTGTGTACTTATTGGATACTTTACTCAAAATCATTTGGATAAATAATATTCAATTCCCAGACATGTGAAGAATTATTGATATTGCTTTCTTGGCGCATTTTGCTCATATTTAATAATAAAGGTTATTTTTTTTTTTTTAAAAAAAGATCCCCCATGTTATCATTTAAGTTTGTATCTAAACATTCTAAAAAAAAAAGATAAATTTTCTTTTGCTTTAGACTTGTTTAATTAGTTTATTGAATAATAGTTCTAAGTGTGTTTTCTGGAAAATTTTTGTTTTTTCTTTTTAGGTCATGTGATAGCAAATGGGGATCTCGCAAGTAGTATTGTTACATATCCTGATAACTTGACTTTAAAGGGTAACTATATTTAGAATAGTTCTCTCAACACTTCATTTCAATATATATAAGCTTAATTTGATTTCAGTGTCCAGTAATTCACTCAGTTCGTGGAGTTTTTTTTTGAAAGATCTGAAAAGTATTTATCATTTTCTAAGTTCAAGATTTAAAACTCAATTATAAACAACTTTAAAAATTTAAAAATACTAATGTAATTGGTGTGTTGATGGAGTAAGAACTTTCACATGGGCATCTAGTATGACTGTTTGACAAGAAAATTCTGTTAATGCATAAAAATAGGAATTTCAATTGTTTCTTTTTTTCCGTTGAAATTTCTTTTGTTTGTACAGTAGGGAACCGATTATCCGGAACGATCGGAACCATCGCTATTCCGGATAACTGATTTTTCCGGTTTTCCGAATCTCTACAAGAAGCCGTTTTTTTAATTGTTAAACCTAACTAAAAAAAAAAAAAAAATTGGAAATAATCTTAAAAAGAAGAAAAAACGATGAAGTTATACACTAATGATTATTTCCAAAATGATGGTGAGGTAAACATCTTTCAAAAAAGAAAGAAAAATCCTAAAATATTATGAGGAAAAATTTTTTTTTTAAAAAAAAATGGTGGGAAAATTTATCTATTTCGTTCCGGTTTTTTGGTTTTCCAGTTTTCTGATTTCCGGACAACGGGTTCTGTATTGTATTAGTTTTTTCCCCTCTAAAGTAGTTCTGGGCCCTGAACGCTAATCAAAAATCCAAAGAGAAATAGATATTAGGATCTTATACCAGGTTTTTGGGATGAAACACTAGTCTTAGTGAGATGTGGTGTTACTCAAAAACTACAAAAAGTTTTAACTTCTTGAACAATGTTTAATAACACTACTGATATAAATGCTACTGTTTATTAATTACTAACCTTGTATATATATATTCGTCATTTGTATTTATATATTTGATAATATTCATATATTTATGTTCATTATGCATATCTTATGTGTCTAATTGTCATCCCTGTGGCAGAATTTTTAATAATAATAAAGAAAAAACAAAAAATGCACATAAGGAATCATAACTCAATTCACAGATTCATGATGTTTGTGTGGTGCTGACGTTATACATACAATTTTTGATACAATTTGAGCAAAATTAAATCTTGATTAATTATACATTTCTGATGCTACTGTAATTAGTATGTTTGCTTCTTTAGATATGATGTACTATCTGTTTGCTCCAACTTTATGTTATGAACTGAATTTCCCACGATCTTCTCGCATTAGGAAGAGGTTTCTTGTTAAACGAGTTTTAGAAATGGTAAGTTCAATGAGAAGAAATTAGTTTTAATTTTTAATTTCAGTTCTGCATATTTTTGGGAGAGATGTATAAAAAAGAACCAACTTGTGGAATTTTAAAATATTTTTTTTACAGCAGTATTATAAGAAAATATTGTAACTTGTTTTGTATGAGTTTACGTAAACTTTTTATAACTAATATAAATGGAATGAATGGGAAATTTCATCTGGAGTAACAAATTTTTTATTTTTGAAACTAATAAATCTTTTACATATATTTTTCAATCTGGTATGTAATTTCTGATTTGTTTCATCTCTGGCATCTTTATAATTTATAATTAAAATAGAAACAGGCGTACTTTTTATAGCATGAGTTAGTTCAAAGAATTTTTTTTTAAGAAAAAGCTTTCAATTAAAAGATTTCATTGAAGTATCATTTATATTTTTAAGCACAAGGCAAGACGAAAGCTCTTATGTTGCACTATCGTAACATTAATCAAATAATTTATTGCAAAGATTTCAATTTTTTAATAGTTGCTTTTAGAATTATTTGCCAAATGATATTTGATTATTTTGAAATTTCAAATGGCTAAAAATTGTTTATTACATTGCCTGTTGAAAATTAGCAAACATTCTGATATGTAAGTAGTAAATATGTATTTTTTTTAAATATTTTAAATTTTTTTTTGCTGCTATCTTTTGATCAGTTAAATGAGTGTGTCTTAATATTTTTATGTAATTTTAATGTCATTATTTAAGAATATGTGTTAAGCTAATGATATAAAAAACAGTAATTTTTATCAGCTGTTCTCTAGGAGTGACAAAGTTTAGTCTTTTTTAATTGCATGGAAAATGAGGAATGGTAATAAAGTGTTAAATTTGTCCAAGTTTTATATTAATTCAAATAACAAATCTTAATTTTCTTTTTAGGTGTATAATTAAATTATTCTAGTAAAAAATAAACTAGATAAATAGCTTACACAATTTTTTAACTTGCTTGTACAATGAATAGCAGTAACAAAACTGGCAAAAAACAAACTAGAATTAGAAAAACAAACTAACTAGAAAATGTATGTGTCACAGAATTTTCGTATAATTTATAATTTAAATAACACTTCTATATCATAAATATTGTTGATAGTAACAAAAAATTGCTGATTTTTTATAAGTATTGTACTAGTAACATTATAAAATGCATTATGTTTGTTTAGTGTGTTAGTACTTAAGTTAAATGATTTCATTAAGAATTGTTGTTTTTCTTTGAAGGTTTTCTTGATTCAAATTATTTTATGTTTGCTGCAACAGTGGGTAGTACCAACAATCAACAACTCATTTAAGCCTTTACAAGTAAGCTAAACTTTTTACAATAAAATTTTTTTTGTTTAATTTTTATGTGTTTGCACATATTCATTGTAGCTCATTGTTTTGTTTGCACATTGTGCAAATACTGAATCTTTTTTTGTTCAACACTTGATTTTTATCAATCTTTATGATAATCTTCGTACAGTTTTTTATTTTTATTTCTAAAGATATTTTTATTGACCTGTGGACACACATTTTAAATTGTAATATTCTAATTAATCAAAATTTTTAATCTAGCACATTTTTTAAAAAAAATTCTTGCAATACAGGTTTAAAATTAGCTAATGTCCTTTAGATTTTTAAGATTATCTAGTCTGTCCGTTGGATTTTTCAAAAATAACCTTTTCTTTAGATGTGAGATAGAAAATTTATTGAATGCAATTATATACCTGTTTTTGTTTTGCAGGAAATGGACTACTTTCGAATGATTGAAAGATTACTAAAACTAGCTGTAAGTTCTATTTTTTTCTGTTCCAATTATTTGTTTTGATTTATAACATTCCATATTCTTATAACATGTAAATCATAAATTATATTTTCTTGTAACGTGTAATAATGTTTAAAACTTTTGAACAGAATTTTATATGAATTTTTTTATTTGGCACTTTTTATGAGTACATACGTAATCAAATAAGCATGTATTTCCTGTAAATATATATATAGAATTGATGCTTTTATATTTTATATAGATTAGATTTAATTTTTAATTTTTTCTTTCTATTTATTGATTACTTGATTTGGCTACATCAAAGAACAGATGCTTTAAAATAATTTCAATATAGTTTGAAGTGTCTAGAATAAACTTTTTATGATTTTTCAATTTCTATTTAATTTTATATAGTTCAATGAAGTTAATGCTAAGATAAGATCTTGCAATAGCATGGCTATTTGCCGTAAAAATTGTAGATATTAGCAGTACTGTAAACTTCCATTATCCATTGACGCGTTTGGCGCAGCATATCCTCCTCTGAATTTTGTGCCAATAAACCTTACATTCAATTCAATCCATTATCCATTGCTTCTTAAATTTTGACTATGTTAGAAAATAGATATTCTCAATTGATTTGAAACTTTTACTCTGTGCACTTTTAAGCGTATATGAGCTTTACACTAGAAATAATGGAAAATCATTTAAAATTAATTGCCTACTATCATTAAATAAAATTGTACATTATCTCATCTTTTTTATCTTATACTTTAGATCAAATTCTTAATTGTATTGATAATTTTATTTAATTTGATTATTGTTTGAATTTAGTGCGACAGAAGTATCTGTAATGCAATTAATGGATGGAAGGACTAACTTTGTGGGCATAATTGCTAGAAAATTGAGGGATTTACAGACAGCATCTGTTGTATTCACAAATTTAGCTAAGAAATTTAATCTTGGTATAAATATACTTAAAACTAAATTTATGGTGCTTACTTAAGATAGATCAATTCAACCTTTCTTTGAAGTTGTATATAGGTTTAGGTATATAGGTATATGTATATAGGTTTGAAATTGTTCAAATGTTCCAGACTCTGTATAGAAACAGATGTTTAAATGGGTTAATGTCTTTCCTCATATCAATATATAAAAAATGAGAAAACCTATCCTAATTTTTGCCACTGACACTTTAACTTTGTCAAAAGAAAATAGTGGAATTTTTAGTGCAATTAAAGAAAGTAACTTTCACAGAAGAACAAAGAGAAATTTATGAAAACATGTGACATTGATGAAATAAAATTTATCAAGTTATTCAAAATGTGATTTGCAGGCATATTTTTTGTTAAGATAAAATTGGCTTAATGCATGAACGTTTCAAACATTAACCAATGAGTAGTACAGCTAACGGGTGACCAAAATTTGAATGACTGAATTCCATCAACTCAAATGTTAAAATCTTTAAGGTATTGGCATTAATTGACAACTAAGAGATCTGCATAGAGAAATTGGCTGACCTCAGGCTGCTGTGCCAATGATAAGGGTTAGCTTAGTTAAGTTTTTATTGTGTGTTTAAAGCTTTGTAAATGTTTTTTATACTTCTAATGATATTGGTGCTTAGTTAAATAAAGAATTGGTACTCCATTTTATTTTAATATATATTTACAGGCAATCAGATTATCATATTTTCATTTTTTGAAAAAAAATTGTATTTAATATTAACCTTTTCTCTTTTATTACTAAGCAACAAAATTTTTAAGGATTCTAAGGAAATTAACAAATTGTTAATGAAATTTTCCACTTTGATTGTTCATTTTATTTATTATATTAGTAATTAATATTAGTAATCATTTTATTTTGTAACAAATCTATTTTAAGGATTTGATGTTTAGATATTGGCTAATGATGTAAGCATGATCAATAGGTCCCAAGTTTGTCCTCAAAATTAAGGTGGCCAATGGTCATATTGCCCCTATCGTTTTTGTCAGGATATTAAGGCACATTAACTTGCATGGCTCTCCCAGGCCATTAACTGAGTCTTACAAAATTTTGTCTTACTATTATTTGAAAATAACTTTTTTAAAGTTTTCTTTTCCTCTTAAACAATCAATTTGATAAGTGGTTAAGTTTAAGATATATATTTTTTAGACCTGATGATGATCAGATATAAATTCTGCCAGATACCAGTATTGTCTGTTACATATTGACTATGTTAATGTTAAATTTGAAAATTCAAATGTTTATATATTTGTAACATTCTGTTGTAACTAATACATTTTCTTACTTTGCAGATCCCAAATCATTTTATTTGGCTTTTATTATTTTATTGGCTGTTTCACTCTTCCTTAAATGTAGTTGCAGAAATATTAAAGTTTGGAGACAGACATTTTTATAATGATTGGTGGTAAGAGCAATTTCTATACTGTTAAATTTTATAAAACTGTTATGTTTATAAGACTGATTGTTTTGATTTAATTGCTTAAAATGAGTTTAATATTTGCAAATTCTTAAATGAAGTTTCAAAAGTTGACTTAACTTTTTGTAAACTTTAAAAATATTTAGGACAGAAATTTTTTAAGCTAGCATATTTCTGCGACATGGTCACATAAACAATTTTTATGCTGGTACTATGAAACTTTACATGACATATTTTAATTTATTTTTACTTTTATATGATTATTTTAGCAAGACTTCTTGATAGTAGCCAAAATTTACAATTGAGTTGACTGTTTCTTTATTTACAGGTGAACTTAATGTAGACTTAATAATATTTATTTTGAAATTTTATAAAACTTAGATTGTTTTTTTTTCAAACTTTTCTTTCATGTATTTTATAATATGAATAATTCTGAATGAAAAAAGACTAGATTTAAAAATATATTTTAATTCAAGTACTCTTTAAAACTCTTAATTTTTTTTTGATTTTCAATTCTAAAACTTAATATTTTTATCTTAGAATAAACCTAACTCAATTTGTAAGTCAATTAACAACCATTATTATTAAAATGCTCACATCTAGTAGAAAACACTATATTTGTAAGCGTCTTTTGAGAGGAAAAATCAAAGTATATATATTAAATAGGTTCCACTAATTTATTTGAAGTAAATTTGCAGAGAATTATCCCTATTGTGGTTGGTTTTAAAAACTGGATATATTTCATGTTTTTTTTAAAAAATATTAAGCATGTTATTATCATTGCATGTATTAATAGTTCTTTTTCAATAATTCTTAACACTTTTCAAAAATTTTTCTGAAGGAATTCTGAAACTGTTGACTACTTTTGGCAAAACTGGAATATTCCTGTACATAAGTGGTGTGTCAGACATCTATATAAACCAATGTTAAGATTTGGTTTTACCAGGAGGCAAGCTGCAATTGCTGTGTTTTTTGTGTCTGCTTTCTTTCATGAGGTATTTTTTTTATTAATTGTTTGTTATTTATTAATTGTTCTTTTTTTAATTTATGTAATTTTAAGACTTCTTTATGAATAAATAAATCTTAAATTTTTGACTTGTGATGTTTTAAAATTACCATTTTTTTTAAAAAACTGCTTGTCTTTTTTTATACATTTTATACAGCTGTTGTAGTTACAAAAAATCAATTATCTTAAATTTTTTCAAGGTTGTTGCGTTTCTACCCTTTTTTTAAAAGAATATCTCTATTTGTCACTATGTTTATTATGACTTTTCAGTTCGTTGTTCTTCAGAATGAAATTAAAGCTTCCTGAATAATAAAATTTTATTATTTAGGAATTTCATTTTGCAATGTTTTAAAGTGAATCACGTGTACTTTTGGCAAAGCTTCTTCAAGAGACAGCTGTGAAAAAATTTAATAATATTTTTTGTAGTCTAAATTTGATCAGAGTTTGATTTTTTTTATTTAAATCTGATTTTTTTTTGATTTTTATTCTAATACATTGTAAGAACTTTATTTTATGATTAAAAAAACTTGATAAATGTTTAATCAAAATTAAATTAATATTAAAACTATATTATAACAATATTTTAAAAGTTCTAACTTACTAAAATAATTTTTCATTATAATACTTAGCTTTGAATGCATAGCAACCATTTTGAAACAAATGCATGATTGAAATTTAAAGACTAGATGAAATAGAGAATTTAAAGAATACTTCAGGGGTCTGTCTAGGTTTTTCTGAGAGGTATTTATTTTGTGAAAATTGAAACATAATTTGGGAAAATTAAAAATTATATTAAAAAGTCAACAAAAGAATATGATAAAAATATGGATTTACTACTTATTACGAGACACAAAAATAAAATTTTAAGAAAAAGTATTTTGTAAAACTACAGATTTTCCTAGAGTTGAAATTGTGAAGTTACCGCTAAGCGGTTGTAAAATTGGCCTGGACAGACCCTGTTCTTTAACTATTAAAACAAAGCTTCAATTAGCAAACAATAATTTTAGTTTAAAATTGTGTTTTTTTTTCTCTTTATTTTTAATATGACAAAATAAATGTAAAAGATTGTGTTTATAAGTGTAGTCATTCATCAAAAAATAAATAAATATTTAATCTATATATTTTTNTATCATTTTCATGTCAATTTTTGTGTTGGTATGTAAAAAATAGTTCAATTGTTTTAGGATTTTGAACTAAGTTTCATGCCATAATTAAAAGTATTTTATTTCACTTTGTGGAGTGCCAAGCAATGTTTTGCACTTAAAGTTGCATTTGCCCACGAAGATATCGGTTTCTTTCGGCACTGTAAGTGTTAACCGACAGTGTGATTAATAAACAACATTATTAACGTATGGATGGTTGACTGAATGTAAACAATAACAAGCTTCCTAAGACTGGAAGAAATTTAGAAAACTTCTGGTGTATCCCTCCGCTCATGTTATGCTTACAAGGCAATGTGTGAACATGCTTCATGTTCTGGGAAGTATTATTATTGGGATTTTCGATCAAAATTACGCGAAATTTTACCATTCATTAGAGTTTTTTGTAATTTATAAATTCTAACAGGACATGAAACTAAAACAAATTTAATAAAATTAATATCAGAACATAAATAAAGTTTAAGGTGTGCCATGTTTTGTATGTTATCCCCCATTTGGTTATATTTGTGAAAAATATCACCTTTTTTGATTTTTGGGAAAACATCTTAGAATGCTCGCGGAATATTTTTAATTTATTTGTTATTTGTTTCGTTGAAAATTAAATTGAAAGAGCGTGATATATGATAAACACTACAAGTATAATAATATTTAATGGCGTGCTTTTCTAGGTGCAAAAATCAATATCAATCGGAAGTAGTAACCCGGAGGTCTGACGAGGAATTTTAACTCCTACCGCCATCTGCTAGCTTTACATGATCAATCTACAATTATTCGCTTAGTGCTCAAGAATCATTTTTAGAATGATTACGCTTGCAGTCATGTAAAAATTTTCAAGTAGCAGAAGCACATTTTCCTCCTTCGAATCGTGATTCTTCCTAGGAAGAATTTTAAATTAAGTTGTAACTATAGTTTTCGTCACGGAAAATGGAAGTGCTAGTATATATATATATATATATATAATATAATCAGTTGATTTAAGTCAATGATTTTTTAAAAAAATATTATTTGATTTAATTCATGATTTAAATCAACAAACCCTGAATTTGATATTGATTACTACCAGTATTAATCTATCACTATATGTTTCAACTCAGGATTTTTGATTTTTTTTACATAAATATGGATTCCATGATACTCTAGAGATTCTGATAGCATTAATTTTTTTAAAATTGTTTTTCTCCCTTCTTTTGCTTTTGTCATATTGAATTCATATTGTTAAGTTGTACCTAAATGGTCTAGGTCAGCAATATAGTTTTTAGGGGTTGGTCAATTTTCCGTTGATGGAGACAAAATGTCATTGCTGACCAGTCTTAGTCCTTTTTATTCTGGAAACTAAAGTTTTAAATCAATAACTTTTACTTGTTTTGGGCAAAAAAAGTGCTTATTATCATTTTTCAACTTTTTGTTTAATACGATATAACTATTCTAAAAACTTTATATTGTGTGAAAAGTATTGCAAAATTAGAAAAATACATTATATACAAATGGAAAAATAATTTTATCTGTATTGAAACAATTAAGCAACTTCGTAAAACAGAAAATGAGCAGTGTAGTCTTTTAAAAGTAAGCTGGCATTTTTTTTTTAATTCTAGTTGAATTATTTTTATTAAGCTAAGTTTTATGGGTGATAAATTTTCAGGTTCCACTTTTTTCAAAGGATTAGTATTAATTCTTCCATGTTATATTAACTTAACATTATCTTATATTAACATATTCACGTGTCTGTTCAAAAGAAATTTGGGTCCTTTAACGGACCCTTCACAAAATATCTTTTCATAAAAACAGATCCTTCACTAAATATTTTAACTTAAATTATTTTGTGAAGGATCTGTTTTTAAGTTAAATTATTTTGTGAAGGGTCTGTTTTTATCTTTTAATTGGACCCTTCCAGGGTTCCCACGGTCCTTGAAAGTCCTTGAATTTTTTTTGCTAAATTTAGGTCCTTGAAAGTGCTTGAAAAACGTCTTAGGTCCTTGAAAAACTTGATAGGTCCTTGAATTTGTCCAATACTGCCGACGGCCCTTTTTATAAAACACCCGCGGATCTTTCTCGTTCTTTCTGTTTTGTTCCCGAGCTCTCTCACGTGGTTTTTAACGCCACCGTTTCTAACCGGGCCTAGCGTCTTGGTGTCTGCCAAGCGCGCGGAGCACAGCAGACAATCAATGCGTTCGGGGCAAGACTCCACTTCATCTTCTGTCGCATATGCTTAGATCTTCTTTTTTCTTATCGAAACTGGAATACTCTCGAATTTCGTAAAAATATGTACCTTGTAGTTTTCAATAAATTTGCTGTTTTACCATCCGCACTTGTCCTTACGTTTGCGTCATTTCAAAACTTTATTGTAAAGCGTATTCGCAAAGGCACGGCTTCGTATTTATGTTACGTAGTTTAGACTAGTTATGCCTGGGAAGTGCTATTTTAATCCCCAATGGGTGGATAATCAAGCTTATAAAGAATGGATTTTATCGATGCCCGAAAAGAAGTTCAGAGCCAAGTGCCGATTATGCATGAAGGAGATCGATATCGCGAAAATGGAAGAATCTGCTCTGAAATCACACATGAAAGAAAGGTAAAACAAAAAAGCAGTCTCATGCCCTGAGTTCTCTTTTTCCAAAGACATCAACATCTAATTCATCTGGTGTAAATACTCCTTCAACATCGTGTGCCCCATGTGAAACAGAAACTTTAGTGGCCGAGGTAACATTGTCTTCTTATCTGGTCAAAAGGAATGTGCTTGATGCTGAAATTCTCTGGAGTCTGAAGTGCATCACTAGTAATTATTCATGTAACTCCTGTGAAGGGATTAGTAAATTGTTCTCCAAAATGTTTGCTGATAGCTGTATAGCGAGACAATTTTTTTGTAGTGCCACAAAGTGAGCCTATTTGGGCTCCTTTGGATTGGCACTATACTTCAAAGGGATTCTTATAAATGAGCTGAAGAATGTTGATTGCTACACTGTACTCTTTGATGAGACGTTAAATCAGTCTCTACAATCTAAGCAGATGGACATTATGGTAAGGAATTGATAATAAAGTTTGCACTAAGTATCTTACCTCCCAATTTATGGGTCATGGAACTGCAGAAAATATTTTGTCCTCTTTTTACAAATGCATGGATGATGGTTAAAAGCTCTCTAAAATACTTCAATTATCCATGGATGGACCCTATGTCAATTGGAAATTCTATTAGAAGCTTCAGTGTGAATTAAAAGAGAAATATTCCCACCAGGTCATATTCATTGGCAGTTGTGGATTACACATAACGAATAATGCTTTTAAACATGGTGAAAATGGGATATGTTCCTTCTAATTTTTATTTTCAGAAAGAATTGTTGCTGCATAACATTTAGAGAAGGTTGTGTAAATTATGGATGAATAATTTCAGAAACGATGTTTAATAGAGGAGAGGAGGGGGTTATGGAATAGTCATGGAATATGGAATACCTAAGATTTAGCTCTGTCTTTCATGCAGCCTTCACATGGAAATACACAGGATTAAAGGATTTCACCATTAACACCTCATTACCATTAGTTATAGATTGTGCTGAAAATGATTTTGTGAATTAATATGTAAAACCAGTAGGGTTGTTTTTAAAAAAATATAAATTTTAGTCCATAATACATATACTCTCTTCTCTCTATATAGGCAAAGCATTTAGGTATTATATTTGAAATTAATTATTGCCACAACAAGCATTGTTGCTTCTAGTAAAATAGAAGAGAATAATTTTTAAAATTTTTCTTAGATTAAGGTCCTTGAAAATTTTGTTGAGGTCCTTGAAAAGTCCTTGAATTTCAATCTCATCATAGAGTGGGAACCCTGCCTTCACAAATTTGTTTATCTTCATCATTGTTTTGTTAATCGAATAAATCCTTTCCAGGAAAGGGGGGGGGAGAAAGACAAATGTAAACAAACTAAGTTTTGTCTTCGGCAGACGCTTCTTCCTTTATTTGTCCGAAATGAATATTCTGCGTTTATCAGTATAGGCTAAATACTGAATATTTGTATGTTGCATCTCTAATTTAGTAGCAGAAATTGCTGTTTATTTTTGAAAATTTTATTTTTTTAAATTATAATTTTACAGTGTTGAGCATAATCTTGTACGTCTTTACACTTTCAAAACTCCTTGAAAAAGTTTTGTAATAACAGGAACCTTTTTTGCACAAATTCACGAAAGCTGGACCCTGGTTAAAAGGGTGTGACTTAAGGTTTATTTTATATTCACAAATTACGAGTAATTTTTTTACCATTTTACAAAAACAGACCTTTCACAAAATGTCTGGACGGACCCCTGTTATTAGTATTCAAGGAATTGTGCTGGGTTAAAAGTTTGATTTTATTTTAGTTCTTTTGCCTAATTTCATAATATTCAAATTATATAAGTATCCAAATATATTTAATTTTTTTTCAGTATCTGGTGAGTGTTCCTTTAAAGATGTTTAAGCTTTGGGCTTTCTTTGGTATGCTTGCTCAAGTGAGTATTTAAAATTAAATTTTTTTTTGGTTGAAAAGTTTATTTTTGATAAATTTGAATCTTTTGAGTAGATATAATATGCCTTTTCTGTAATTTCTGTTTCCTAAATAAATATAACATGTTTTTTTTTGTACTAACTTTTTACCATATGTCCTAAATTATAATAATCCTTTAAGAGGTAAACATGCATATCAAAAGGAATTCATTTTTTTAAAAATAAAAATTTAAAAATGTTTGAAAATTTCAGAATCCTTTAAGAAAACCAAACTTTAAGTAGTAAATTTTTTGAATGTTAAATTTATATTTAAAAATTCTAATGTTAATTTTTAGTTATTACTATTTTTTAAAAAAAGTTGGTAACTCTTTTATTTCTGCTTTTATTTTTCAATGTGGTCTTGCACTTTATTTGAAAGTTTCATGTAGCATTTGGGAAATAGCTTTTTATTCAAAATCTTTTTTAGCTTAGTTGAAAAAAATTATTTGAAACTTGTTTCAATGGAAAAACAATACTGTGTTCTCTGGGAGTTTGTAAATAAAAAATAAGTATATTATTAAAAACCTTTTATTTCATAAATTTTTTTTTCTAATCTTAAATTAGCTTACATTTTAAAATGGCAATCCTTTAATATATTATATCTATAAACGAAAAGATATGTTTATACTTATTAATGCATTATCTATGATATATTGCTGGCCAATAAACATTGTTATGAAAGGATACATTGTTCACCAAAAAGTGACGTGTATGTAAATTTTAAGTAAAAAGCATATTAAAAAATGTTTAAAGAGTAAATGTTTCAGTGTTGAACATTTAAATGTTAATTGAAATCATCATAAATTTAGCACGGTCACATTTTTATAAAAAATATGAAGCTGTTTAAATTTTATAAAGTAATATTTAAAAGAAAAAAATCTTTGAAAAAGTATAAAAATTCTAAAAAAAAGTACAACGAAATAGAAAATGATACAATTTCAATATCTACAATGATGGTACATTCTTTAAATTTAGATCAAAAGTGCAACTAAAATATAATAAATTTCTAAGGTAATTAATTAAAAATACATATTTCTTACTTGCTCTTTTATTGATTGCTACAAAAACTAAACACATGTTTAAGAAGTAGACTTCTATCTTTTTTTTTTTTAATTATAAATTATCACACAGCACAGTTGGATATCATAGACCAAATTTATCCAGACCATNTTTCAACACGAACTATTGCGTTAGAGCTTGACATTTGCCAAAAAACAATAGCAAATACTCTCAAACGCATAAATCTAACAGTTAAGTTTAACCGTTGAGTGACTCGCGAATTGACTGCTGAAGACAAGAGCAAGAGCTATGATTTAATGTAATTATCACACAGCACAGTTGGATATCATAGACCAAATTTATCCAGACCATCTGGTAAATAAAAGAAATAGTTTACACTTTACCTCAAAGCAATTCCTGAGTTTCAATTTATGGTCCTGTCTCTCATTTCTATTAAATATAGATGCTTTGTGCTTCCAATGTTGACGATACTTGATATATTTTAAGAACTACATTTTCCAAGTATATCCCTCCATTCTCTTGTTTTGTTTATAAGATACTAGGATTTGTGTAATTATTACTGATTATTTAGTACAAGAAAATATAATTATAATTAATGGTTGTAAATTTATATGGGATAGTTAATGATTTAAAAAAAATCTAACTTATCTATTTAGACAAAATTCAAATCTGTTATGAAATCCAATTTGGTTACATGTTATGTTTCTTAAAACTAAAATTGATTGAATCATTTTGAAACATTTATAAAATATTGATTTTTCTCAAAGTTTTTGTAAATATTTAAATTTTTTACTGAAATTATGTATTTAAATACATTTGTATGTATTTGATATCTGTATTTAAATATATTGTATATGTATTTGATATATGTATTTAAATATATTCTTCTGTATTTAAATATATATTATGCATTTAAATATATTTTTTCCTGAAAAATCTGTAAAAAAAAATTAATGCTTTTGAATAATTTGATTCTTATCTATTATATGAAAAAAGAAAGTTTATCTTATCTGAATTAAGAAAAGCAAAGAATAATGAACAATTTGTGAAAATCGTGTATAAATCATTTTAAAAATAAAAACTAATTTTGATAACTTCTGCAAAGATGTCCCTCCTGTTAACTACAGCCTTTTATTCATGCATTTCGTAATTTTACCTCTCCTTTGAATCAGAAGTTTAGATAAATTTTTTTTTGTAAAATTTTTATTGTGTTAAATGTGCCTTATAAAAAAGTATTCTTACAATTAACATATTTTAATCAACAAACCTTTTTTATGTTAATTTTTAATGTAAAAATCATGAAATCTATTTTATTTGCAGCTGCCTTTCTCAATAGTTGTTGAAAAATATTTCCATAATCAGTATGGTAACGTGGCTGTTTGGATTTCTTTACTTATTGGCCAGCCGCTTTGCATTCTTATGTACTACCATGATTATTATGTGATAAATTTTAAAACTGCTGACGTTTGATTATGTTGTAGTACACAAGGTTGTGGAATAATTCAAAACAGAGCTCTATATTTTTATATGAATGAATTATTGATTTTATGATGTAACTAATGTGATAACACTAATTAAAATAGTTTTGATACAATTTTATAACAGTTTAATGAATTGTTAAATAGTTGCAAGTAATTCTGATTTTTATCTCCTTTTTTAAAAATCTTTCCTATTATGTGCTCAAATATTGTTCAAATAAATTTTTATTATAATCAATACTATTTAAAGTTAAATGAGAAGAAATTTTAAAGTCACTTATGTGAATTTATCTAAATTGTAAAAGATTATATCCTGTGTTAGGTGCTCAAATATTATTCAAATAAATTTGTATTTCAATTAATTTATAAAGTTAAATATGAAGGTAAATCACTAATGTGAATATATCTTTTTATAAATATATCTTAAGTGTTAATATATTTTAATAATTTTGTCTTGCAATTAATGTATAAAGTTAGGCATATTGAAATTTTTTTAAAAATTCATTTATGTCTTGATTGCTATCTTATGTCATATGCATATTTTCGCACATTTTGTTGTATCATACCCATTATCATGTATCTTAGACCAAAGATGAGTATCATCTAAACATAATGAACTTTGTATTTTAATTTTTCAAATTCTGTCATTTTCCTTGTAAATCAGTTTGTCAATTGTGTATTTGTATTGTTTTGTTTTCATTTTTTTTCTTTAGTATGACTATTTAGGAAATTTAATATTGAGCTAATATTTAATGGGTTACAAGAAAAATATTTCTTTAAAACAGTTTATGAAAAGGTCGGTTTCTTAAATGCTTGAGTTTCTGATTCGACCTTTCTATCTTGACTATGACTTTCTATTAACTATTTCTATTGAGTTTTATTTGTAAATTTATCTCCAATTTGATATTTTATTTAATAGATACATTCTAAACAACTATTGTATTTAATAAGTTAATAGTTTCATCATAAAAATGTTTTAAAATAGCTTTAGAATATAATGTTCACATGTTTGGAATTAGAATCAACATCTTTATTTATCTACAAATGCTTGAGCTTCTCCTTCAATATTTTAGTTTTATTTGTGCTTAATTTTTCTTAGTATGATTTGAATTTCAGCAGTTCATGTAATATGCTGGAGAAATTTTAGGTACGTTTAATCATGTTTATACAACTGCACTTATTGACTAATGCGCAAATGTTTGAGCTTCTGTTTCAATAGTTATCTTTTAACTGTTTTATTTTCTTTATTATTACTTATCTAATTATCTTCATTATATTTGTAGTTCCTATATTAAGATTTCTTTCAGACTATCATGCAAACATTTAGCTAACTTTCCAGAAGTAAGTCTGATAAGTTGAGTGTAATTAAAAACTATCAAATTAATTTAAGATTATATATATTTCTGTGGCATCAAATGTATTCAGTTTGAAATATTGATCAGTATTTCTAATTGGTATTTTATTCCTGAGGCATAATTTGTCATAATGACTGCACTATATTAAACTGTTTTCATAAAAGAAAATTTTTTGTTGCAATATTGCTCATTGTCAATTCCATTAATTAAAAGTTATGACTAATACATTCCAGTATTTGCTCATTACCTTTGTGTATATTTCTGTTTTTCTATATTTACTAAATGTTTCTTTTGATGTTGTAGTTGTAATTCCTCCATCCCTTTCTAGAAAGTTTTTCTTTTGAACATTCATAGTTTATTACTGTAGTTCCTAAAATATTTTTTGTAATGTTTTTAAAATTTGCATTTGTTTGTACTTAATTTCTCATTAGTATACTTTTTTTCTGCATTTTTTGAAAATATGCAAAGTTAAATTGGAGTAGTTTTTTTTATATTTAGTTTATGAGTATATTTCACTAACAAAGTATTAGATGTGTTATAGTATGTTTAAAATCAACAATAGTACAAAAAAAGAAAACTTGAAATTTTTTGCATTAATTTTAGTATAATTTTTAAAATACGCTATATTAATATTTACATTTTTTTTTAAAATTTTATATAAATTTTGGTAGGAGTAAAATTTTTATATCTAATAAAATTAGCAAATCCTTATTAATAGCAATAAAATTAGCAAATCCTTATTTTTTTCCTTAATTCATATTTGACTACGGTTTTTTTTGTCGCTTTAAAGTAGACTGAATCAAAAATATTTAAGTTAGTGTTAATAAATAGCTTATTATCTGGTTAGTTATGAAAAATTTTCAGATTTTTGTGCATTTATTATATCTTTATCATACCTGTTAATCTTATTCTTGAATTTCATCTTCGAAGTGATAAATCATTTATATATTTGATAATAGAATTTATGTGATATATATATATATATATTTCAGGAATTATGTTGAAACTTCTCTAATTTGTAAATGTGATTTTGTGTAGTCTTTTTGGGTGATAAATGTGCCAAATTGTTGAATTTTTGTATTCTAACATAATGTAAAAACGTTCAATTTTTATAGGATTTTTCAATTTGAATATCACTTATGTATCTTTAATGACATCCATTTATAAATTTTGTAAAATTTTTAGGCTCAAAATAAAATTTTAAAGCATATACTTTGTTTACATATGTGCTTTACATTCATTGTATGTAAATATATTTTTATAATCTGCATAAAATATATTTTTTAAGTAAAGTAAAATCATTTTTTATGTGGAAAATCATTTTTTACCTTCTTATAAATTGTATTTAAAAAATTTTGTCAAATAAACTATATATTCTTAAAATTTTAATTTGTTTTTGGATTTAGTTTGTGTTTTTCAAATAGACTATAATTAAGTAGGTATTTATGAAGGGAACTTTTTTATTTAGTCAACTTTTTTTTCCATATTAGAAGTAAAGATTAAATTGTACTATTTGAAAGATGTCACCTGTTGCATAATTTCCATAGTATTTACAGATTTAGATTCCAAGTGTGGGTTTTTTGGCCCTCTTACTTTTTACTAAAGCTGACCGGGCTGTAGGCGTCATGGAACTGGCCTTGCATCAGAAAGGTTTTGGGTTCAAATCCCGGGCAAGGCATGGATGTTCTTTCATTCCCTATACTATTTGTCTTTACTGTGGGAGCAATGTTGGTCCACCTAACATATTGCCCTGAAAGAGTGGACAGCAAATCTGCCCTTCAGATGCCTGTATGATGAAAGGTCATTCCCCAGGTGGGCATTGGAAAAAAGAGAGAAAAAAAAACTTAATTTTTCAGTTTGGGCTTTACAAACAATTTTTCACTTCCATTATTTGTCTTGCTTTTTAAATTCAAAGAAATTTTACTTTTATATTGAATGTTTATACAATATTAGTTTTTCTTAAGGTTTTTTTTTAAAATTTATTTTTGTAAAACTTTTTTTTTTATAAAAATATATAATTCAATAAATTTCAATACATTTATTTCTGCTTTTAAGTACTGCAAAGGAAAATATTCTCTGTTACTTAAATAAACTATTAATTGCTGAAGAACTATGAAAAAAATTCTGTATGGGTTGACAGGTATAACATTGACCTTGTGAAAAAAAAAATTTCTGAATAAGATTTCTCTTCATTTTTTGTGTGTCACCTCATCAGTTTTTTCTAACAGACCTAAAATTAATGTTAAAAAATGTAATTGGTGGTGGTGCTTGTAGAGGTTGTGAATTTTGCCATTTATGTAAAAGTAACTATTTTTTTTCTCCATAGCGTAGAAAGCAATAGCTTTGAAAGCCTCTTTATTTTTACAAGGAAATTAATGAACAAAATATATTTCCAAGAAACATAGCAAAGATTTTGTGATTATTTGAGGTATCTTACTGAAATAGTGGTTTTAATCTTTTTTGATGCAATTCCTTTAGACCAAAATTAATATTCTCCAAATGATAGTCATAATGCTAGAAAAATATCAATTGTGACACCAAACCTATCCACCTTTATGTTAAGGAAATTTTTAATTTGAATTTAAAAAACTGCATAATTTTGTATCTAAATGCTCATCAAATTTTTTAAAACTGTAAAAAGTTCAATTTCTTTCATTGTTTGTGACTGGAATTCTCATTATAAATGATTATTCACAGTACAATTGTCAATAATATACCTTAATAAGACGTGGAGCTACTTTGTCTGATTTTGGACTTCATGTTATTAAACCCTACATTCAAGTCCCAATTCAGAAATACGAGGCGGATGGAAGAATGCAACTATTAATAACACTCAACGAAGAGCCAGAGAAACACATATTGCAAGTCGTAAAATACTATCGAAGCTTTTCTCCCAATTTGCTCAAAACAATCTTTAGCGAGTAATTCATTAACCCTTTGTAGAATGAACGGTAATACATAATATGCAGGATTAAGAAGGAAAAATGAAATTCAATTCTTTTTTAAACTTTAGATATATGTAGCACTATAATATGTTTTTATTTTATATAAAAATTACATTTTATAGTTCTCTATCGTGTGGAATCTTTCAAAGTAATCCCTGAAGCCCTGGTTTTCGAAAACATGTGTCACAAAATTAATTAGTTTAGAGTCTTCTGCCTTTAATTTTTCTGTTTGAAGATACAGAACAATCTTAACTCTTTACATCTTCACAGTGCCGCAATATATGTAGTTAGCCATTAAGCGGTGGCTGGGAGCAGACATACGACTGGAACGGTAAATCGTTGGTGGCTGAGAGTAGACTTACGAACGCAAAGGGTTTATAACACTCGAAGAGGAATCAGAGAAACACTTATTGCAAGTCGTGAAATACTATCGAAGCTATTCTCCAAGTTGCTCAAAGCAATCATTAGTAAGCAATTAATTCAAATCTTACATTTTATTGCTTTTTTGTGGTTAAGCAGTATTGTTATCTTTGGAAATTTTAGTTTTTATTATTTTATCTCCTAAATCAGCTTTATAATTGAATTAATAAAAATGCTTTTGGTAAAATTAAGGAACTAGAATTCATTTTAATTTTAAACCCGCTTGTAGCACGTGTAGTTGTTTATTAAATTTTCAAAATTTTTATTTTATCTTAACATTTTACTAGTCCTATAGAAAAAGAATAATAGGGTGACACATATAAAAAATATAAAATTTCTGCCTATCTGCTGAGAGCCACCCTAGTTTACATATAAAGTTTAAAATAAATATTACAATTACTTGTTTCAAAGGAATGATTTATAGATATCCGTGAATCGATTCCTCAGGTGGTTTGTCTACTTTAGGTAAACACGGGCTTCACAAACCCCAGGTGCACCAGTGATTTTTTTCATTTTTTTTTTAATACCTAGTCCCAGTTTAAAACAGTTTTATAAACTTAGAGTATTCCAGTGTACTGGCTTTTGATCCATTGAACTAATGAATACTATATTTAACTCTACTCAATGGCTTAGACTTTGATCTTATTTCCAAAATGGGGAAACTGATTGTTATTTATTATTTTTTTTTAAAATTTAGAAAATCGCTTTTGGTAATGGGAAAGTTATTTGCTGCAATTGTTTTGTGCTAGAAAAGAAAAAATTTCACAGCCATTCGAAATATTCATGGAAAAAGTGCATTGATTTTTCAGAATTATTCCTACATTTGTTATGATAAAGGCCCACTTCCATAAATTTATTAGACAGTTTTAAAATTTTTCTCCAACGACTACAATAAATCAGAAATTTTAGTGACTTTCTTGTTCCCATGATATATTTTTAAATAAACGTTACTTATTATCCAAGTTGATGTAGTATAATTACGACCAAAGCTTGAACAGTTTTCAAAATTTGAAGAGGAAAAAAAACACTAAACCTTCTTACATTACCCATTTGTTTTTCTATAAATTGAAACTGCTTAAGTAATTGATTTTATAAACAAGTTCTATATGTTTTACTAAGTATTTGGTACACATAATCGAAGGTTTAAAAAACCTAAGCTTTAGATTTTATGAGATAAAAGTGCAACTTCATATAGCAGTGGAGAAATATTCTTGCATTTATCGATAAATTTTATTAAATGCGTCGAAATAGTTATGATACATGCAAAAGAATCCAAGTGAAGGCAATTTTGTTATTTCGGGACATTAACGTTGGATTTTTCATAATTTAAAATTTTGCTCCTCTATTACTTTTTTTAAAATATCAATTATGTTTTAGAAATATCAATCTTTGTTTCCTACAAATTTTATTTTAAATCGTATTTTTATGGATTTAGATTTTAGGAAAGTTCTAGCTTGCGCATTTTTCATTAAAAAGTCATTACGTATAATTTGCACGATTCTATGAAAGTTTTACCTCCGCAGATAATTCATGCTTGTTTCTACTCACAATTTAATTTTGTGGAAACTCATGCATACTGTTAGTCTTGAGAATTTGAAATATTAAATACTTGAGAAATTATAAAAGCGTTTATATATCTACTTGTGTCTAATAACATTTCTTCTTTAAGTGATTTCTCTTTTTCAGGCGTACGAGAGGTTCTCGTTCACTAGTCTCGAGGTGACCCAAATTTTGCATCAGGCATAGTTTATAGCAACGTTTGAGCACCTTATTTAGATTATGTGAAACAGTTAACGTTTGACGGTGTCTGGAACATTTTCTGACTAAAGTTGAATTTAGATTATGATCTCCATATTCCGGGAATCAAATATTTATAAGAATTGTTGACTAATTTATTTTAGAGGTTGCGTACAAAAGGAAGGGTAGTGCCTGATATATTATAAAGCTCGGGCCAAAAACCTCCGAATTTCTAGGGACTTCTTAAATTGAATAAATGTTTTCCTCCTCTAAGACATTTCTAGAATTTTGAAATCGCATAAAATTTAAAAACAACTTTAATTTGTTATAAGTCTATCAAAAATCAAAATTATTATGAGTCAATCAAAAGAATTTTGTACCCAAAGAAATATATTTAGTAAGTGATTGCACTTGTAGCAGGGCTCCCGTCAGTTCTGTGCCTATAGTCCCTAGAATTTCTAAATCTGACACTGAGCAGTGGTCATTGGTCAGGACGTAGCAGCCCCATTACAATGGCCTATATCACCTATGCCCCACTAACTATACTAATAAAAGTCCAATCACAGCACGGTTTCCTTTTAACCGAAAAACTACTCGTGTCATGTTTCAAAGGCCATTATGGCAGCACAATGTTCTGAGAGAACGTTAATATGCATTCCTCACGGAGTGCTTAAATTTTTTTTTTTTGCGCTAGATTAATTTTATAACACCTACCTGGTTATATAGATAAGCCTACTGAGACCAATGATGCAAACCAGTCGAAAAAGATATGGAGAGCTTTCTATGATCCATATGCTTTTTCATGACGTTAATTAGCTAGCTACATGCGATACTTTTCCGAAGGATTTATCTTTATGTAATCAATGCTCCCAAGTCACCGAAGTGCCCCAATGCGAAATACTTTTCGGAATACGTATTGCTGTAAAGCTTGGCGCAGTATAACAAATTCCTGCTTTAATGTTATTAATCTGTATTTATTTCAATCTAATCAACATTGTCAGTGCAATTTAACTTTTTGAAAGTTTAAGTGAAGAGTCTTCGATCACCCATCTGACCTTCCGACTTTTTTGCCAAAAGTTAAGTGTTGATGGATTTGATACAAGTGGCTTAGGAGGACTGATTTTCAAGACAACATAAAAACGTCTGTGTTATTGGCTGCTTGATATTCTGTTGAGATAAATGTCTCAACAAAAGTAGTTGAATTACTTTTTATTCAAAATAAATCTCAATTGGCTTTGTGATTGCCGGTTTATCAATCATTGAATGTTTTTTTAAAATATAAAATCG